AGTCCCACAGGCTAACCAAGCCCGATAGGACGTCCTGGTGCCATATATACTTATAGACACCCTTAAGTTCAGACATGGAGTTCATTATTGACAAACAACAACAAAACGCTGCTCAGGTTCAGATCTCACTGTTGTTGCCCACATGAACGTTGAAGTCTCCCAGTAGTACAACAAAGTCCACAGGCGGAGCATTCTTGAGCACGCTGGCCATGGACTCCAAGAAGGCTGGGTGCTCTGAACCGTCGTTCAGCGCATAAGCACAGACGACAGTCAGGACACGTTCTCCGACCCAAAGGTGCAGGGAACAAACCCTCTCGTCCACCAAGAGAAACCCCATAGTACAGGCAGCAAGCCGAAGGGGATACTAGGATGCTCACCCAGAGTCTGTCCCCAAGGGCAACTCATGACTGAGACAGAGTCCAGCCCTTCTCCAGGAGACTAGTTCCAAACCGTGCGTTGAGGTGAGCCTGACTATACCTAGCCAGTACCGCTCAACCTTACGCACTAACTCAGGCTCCTTCCCCACCAGTGACATTCTCCTAATTGCTAGTCTTGGTAGCCAGGGATCGGTCCGCCAGGGCCTTCACTTATTGAACCTGACCTTCCTGTGGGTGGTGGGCCTACAGGAGGATGGGCCCGTGTCCTTTTCAGGCTGTGGCCAGTTTGGCCCCATGTACTAATGCATGACCCAGTTTGCCAATTTGCCATTGGAGACCCTAATAGGAGGCAAAGCCTCCTGACAACATAGCCTCTAGAATCCCTGGGACACGCACACCCCTCCACCACGATAAAGTAGCGAATCATTCCAAGAGTCGTACTGCACTCCCCAACCAAAGATTTTGGCTTATCACAGGTTTAACAGTTTGAACATTTTCTGGTGATAAGGTTAGATTTACAATCTGATTAGTAGCCTCAAAACTTCTAATTATCACTTAATCGAAAGACAAATGGTGGCAGTTTTACAGTGTGTCAGAAAAATTCAAAAGGACTCTCAGGTGAGTAGGATCTGAAATGTCCACTGTAGCCACTGTTTTGCTCTCATTTTTCTCATATTCTCAGAATCTTTCCTTTGTCCTCTTTCATCTCTTCTCATATTTGACATCATTTTTTCTGTTTTGGTTCTGCCCAACTTCGTCTGCATCTGTCCCCTCTCGTACTCTTTCCTCCTGTCGTTCCTGTTTTCCTTTTTTTTTGTACATGTTTCACCTTTTTTATGTCCCATCTCCATTCTCTTACCTTTGACTTTTATGTGCCTCCATTCCCCTTTTATTCTTTTCCCTTGTTTCATTCTCCACCAGGAGGTCCAAACTTCAGATGATTCAGATTGTGGTGATGACATTGACCCAAAGACGGGCATGGAGGTACCAGCTGTTCATTTTCATTGAAAAGATCTCTGACTCGGTGTTGAATACTTTTCTATTGAATTATTATATCAGCATTAGACAAACACTGTGTTGGAGACAAATGTGAGAGAATTTAAGAAGTTTAAAATCTGGAACTATTGTGTATAAATTCATTTTATATAAAACTGCTTCATATATGCTGAAAACTAATCCACATCTAATTATTTTCCAGCTTCTGAATCCAAACTTCATCCAGGAAGGTGAGACATACATAAGGCAGTTAATGCAAATTACATTTATTTATTCATTGAATAAGTTGTGTGACAAAGCCAAGAGGCCACGGGAATACA